CTGTGGTTCCTATTGGAGAAATGATACCAGATATTGGAAGCTGGTTTAGAGCATATACAACCTCCTGGAAAACATTGTCCCAAACCTTCAAGATATTGCCACCTAGCTGGTGCCATAATTGTGTCTTTAGAAGACCATTAGATTATTCTTATGAAGCCAGGAGGTTCAGGATAATGGGGAATGTGGTAAGACCAATGAATTCCATGAGCATGGGCCAATTGCTACACTTCATTTGCTGTGAAGGGAGTCCCTTTAACCAAGGTGACATTGTGTGGGACAGCATGATGTGGATAAGGCATTCTGTAAGTCCACAGATGGAATTTTGGCAGAAGCATTGCATGCAGGGAAGGCAAATCTATATCCAAAGTAAGTGTTTATTCCTGTAAGAACAAAATTCTGCCCTTTCCACAATGGAAGTGGTCCAAGGTAATCAACCTGCCAGCAGGGTGCTGGCTGATCACTCTGAGGAATGGTTCCATATCACAGACTCATTTTTGGTCTCTGCTGTTGGTAGATTGGACACTCAACAGTGTCTGTAGCCATGTTGGCATTGGTGAGTGGAAGTCCATGTTGCTGAGCCTGTGTGTAAACTCCATCTGTGCCACCATGGCCACTTTGTTCATGATCCCATTGGGCAATATAAGAGTGGCTGGGAAAAGAGGATAACAGGTTTCCGAAACATGTGTCATCCTATCCACCTGATTGTAAAATTTTCTTCTGCTGAAGTAATCTTTTGATGAGCATTCACAGGAGACACAAATATCTTCACTTCTTTGGCCTATTCATAAAGGTCTGTTCCTATACCACTTCCCCATAACTCTTTGTCACCAGTTTTCCAATCATGCTTTTTCCAACTTCCTGACCATCCAGACAAACCATTGGTCATAGCCCATGAATCATTAAACAATCACACATCTGGCCATCTCTCCTTCCAAGCAAAGTGAACAACTAGGTGCCCTGCTCAAAGTTCTGCCCATTGGCAGGATTTCCCTTCACTACTGTCCTTCAGGAAGGTCCCAGAAAAGGGCTGCAGTGATGCTGCTGTACACTTTGAGTAGTGCCTGTATATCATGCAGACCCATCTATAAACCAGGTAAGAGTTTTCTCTTTTTCAATCAACTGATCATAAGTAACTCCCCATGAGAACATAGGTGCAGACTGGGACAGGAAGGTAATATGACTAGAGTGGAGATCATGGGCATTTGGACCATTTCCTCATACAACTTACTTGTGCCTTCAGGTCCTGTTCAACCCCAGTATCTCATATATCACTTCCATTTAATGATGGAGTGCTATTGTGCACATCCAAGTTTATGACTCTGTAGATCAGACAATAATCACTTCATGATAGGCAGCTCAGGCTGCTGAGTGTCTTGGTGGCTTATGGTTAGGTGTTCAGTCTCTACTAAAGCCCAGTAACAAACCACTGTTATTCAAAAGGAGAGTAGTTATCTGCAGAGGATGACAGGGCTTTTCTCCAGATCTTCATTGTGATTCACTAATTGGGGCCTGTCAAAGACTCCAAATATTATCTCTATCTGCCACTGACACTTCAGGCAGCACCATTGAATCAACAGAAGTGGCAGAGTGGCTTGCACAGCAGCCTGAACATGTTGCAGAACTCTGTTGTTTTGGGGCCCACTCAAAACTAGCAGATTTCAAATTACTTGATAAATAGGCTGGGGTATCACACCTAAATGATGGATGCATTGCCCCCAAAATCCAAAGAGGCCCATCAGGTGTTATGCCTCCTTTTTGGTTGTAGGAGGAGCTAAATGAAATAACTTATTCTTCACTTTAGCAGGACTATATCAACATGCCCCACATCACTGGTGTCCTAGAAATTCCACTGAGATGAAAGGTGCCTGACTTTTTGTCAGGTTAAAACATCACCCTCTAGTATGCAAATGTCTTAACCAGTAAGTCTAAAGTCATTGATACATCTTCCTTACTGTGACAAATCAGCATATTATCAAGGTAATGGCTTGTGGAAGGGAAAGGCTATCAAGGTCCTTGCAGACTAAATTTTGGCATAGTGCTGCAGAGTAGACATGCCCCTGAGGTAGGACCATGAAGGTGTATTGCAGGCCTTCACAGTTGAAGGCAAATAGCTTCTGGTGATTCTTTGAAACAGAATTGAGAAAAGGCATTGGCCAGATATATAGTTGCATACCAGGTACCAGGAGATTTATTAATTTGCTTAAGCAATGAAGCCAAATCTAGAATAGCAGCTGCAGTTGGAATCACCCACCTGGTTAAGTTTATGATAATCCATTATCATTCTCCAAGATCCATCCACTTTTTACACAGGCCAAATAGGTGAGTTAAATGGGGATGTGGTAAGAATCATCACCCCTGCATTCTTCAAGTCCTTGATGGTGGCACTAATCTATGCAGTCCCTCTAGGAATATGATATTGCTTTTGGTTCACTATTTTCCTATGTGGGGCCAGTTCTAATGGTTTTCATGTGGCTTTCCTTATCATAAATGCCCTTACTCTACATGCCAGGGGCCTAATGTGGGAGTTGTCCCAGATGCTGAGCATATCTATTCCAATTATGCATTCTGGAACTGGGGAAATCACTGCAGGATGGGTTCAGGGACCCACTTGACCCACTGTGAGATAGCCTTGAGATAAGACTCCATTACTAACTCAACCTCTATATGTACACACTCTAACTGGTGGGCCACAGTGACATTTTGAGTCTCCTGGAATTAGTGTTAATTCAGAGCCAGTGTTCAGTGATCCCCAAAATGTCTGATTATTTCCTTTTCTCCAATGAGCAGTCATTCTCATAAAAGGCCATAGATTTCTTTGGGGAAGACTGGGAGAAAAATTAACATAATAAATTTTTGTCCTTCCGCAAGGGGACTTGGTCTCCCTTTCACTCAAGAAGTTGTGGGTTTATAAAAGGGTTCAACTCTGGGAATTGGTTTAGGGGCTGTGACTCTATTCTGGTGATTTCAAGGCATTCACTTGGCCTAGAATTCTTCTGCTTATACAGATCAAGTAAATATTTAGTAGATTTCCCACCTATTTCACTCCTAGGGACACCATACCTGTGGTGTAGTAAATTACCTGGTATGGCTTTTCTAGCCATAAGTCTTTGTAAACTCTGTGGTGGAATTTGCTGTGAGCAACTGAGAAGCTCCTGATTGTAAAAGTTATCCACGTGGGGTATTTCTGTTGGGAGTGGCACAAAGCCATGTTCTGGGAGGTTCACTCTCTCTCAGGTGCTTAAAATTCTGATGTTATGATTGTCTAGTTTGACCACTCAGCCAGGCTCAAAAGGAGGCCTCCTAGAGGCAGAACTCTCTCTCTCTCTCTGACTGCTGGCTGAGGAAGGATGCACTCCTGAGAGACACACGCTGCTGGGAAAGAGATGCAAGAGACACATTGCTGAGAGAGACACCGAGGAACACGCACTACTGGGAGAGAGACTATGAGAGACTGTTGGTTGAGAGATGGCGGGCTGGGAGAGAGACTGAGCATTTTTCCTGAACTTGAATTGTAGTCTGGTGCTTCCCTAATAAACCCTATAATCTATGAGTTCTGTGTGGCTACTGCAGTGAATTATCGACCCCAGGAGAGAGGTTGGTTGGTGCTTTGGGAGGAACCGTTGGTGCAAGGGCTGGAGGGAGGCAGCATGTCTGGCCTTTCAGTAATAGGCCTTGAACTATTGATGGTGATTCTGTCTTCCTCTTATGGGGTTAGAGGAGGTTGGAAGATGTGGCCTCTTTGCCTTTTTAGCAATACCTAAGTAGCCAATGTCATAAGTCCATAAAAGTCAGACTATTCTGATTATAGTTTTGAGTCTGTTGGCCATTATGGTAACCACGCTCACTTTGTTTTTGTTGATTAAGTGCTGCAACTTGACCCCTACCACCAAGGGGTCCAATAAGAATCATTGTAGTTAAATGTCTTAATTCAATTAGGACACTCCCTATTGTCAAATATGACTTACATAAAATAACAATCACAGCAGTCTTCAAGTATGCTGGGGTTTCTTCACAAGTTTGTTCCTCACCATGTGGTAAAAGATGTGTCCCCCAGGTACTTCATTTGTAGGTCTCTGGGTCTAATCTGATAAATCCATTCTAACATGTCAATTTCCCTAAGCCTTTGAAAATCTTTTTACAGTATACCAAGGCAGGTATGGTATTTCAACTCAACTTAGTGTAGGCCACTGCATTACCCATGCTTCAGTAAACCAACCAAACAAACCTTTAGATCATTTCCTAACCTCTTGAGCTGAAACACTGAGTGAAGAATTTGTGCTTAGTGGCTCCAAAAAAATAAGCTCAGACTGGTTCCACTTTATGTTCCTTGTACCATTATCCCACACCCTTAAAAGTCATTCTCACAAATATTCTCCAGGTTTCTATTTGTACATATTAGCAAATCAAGCAGAGTGTAGCATACCTCTTCCTGAATCACACCTTTTGGAGCTATCTGGGACTAAAGTCTAGCTGCAAAAATGGGTAGTGAGGGTGGTTCCTGGGAAAATTTAGCAATATATTATAAGGCATCTGCCTCAGCAGCACCCCAGATGTTTCAGACCATGACTTATCAGCATAGCTGAGTTAGTCTCATCAGATGGAAGTAAGAGTTAGTTCTGCTGACAGGAGTGATTCAATGGAATTTAAGGGCTCAATGTCCCCAGATCAAATATGTGATCACCCAGAACCTTGCTTCTCAAGAATGCTTGACTATTGGTATGATATTTGTGTGTTAATATTGCCACCTCACGCCATGGATCATCAGTGCCTACTTCACTAATAGGGGCAGAGTCATCAGTGCCATTAGCACTACTCAAACATAAGAAATAATTTAGAAAACTCATCCTTATGATTTTGTTTCTCAGTAGCAAGTATCTTAGGCTGGGTTCTCTGGAGAAGCAAAACCAGTGAAGTTTACATGCGCGTGCGCGCGCGCGCATGTGTGTGTGTGTCTAAGAATTGGTAGACGTTCATTGTTAGATAGGTAGAGATAAGAATAGATTTGGGTGAAGAGAAGGGCAATGTACCAAATGTGAGTGATCAACATGGTGGCATTGAGAAAGAGGAAGACATAGAGAGGTACATGGGAGGTGCAGACAACAAATATGAACTCTTTTGCACATAACAGTACTATGTTGTCAGTGAAGGCAAACACAGGTATATGGGTGGATTAATGGGTAGACAGGCTGAACCACTAGATATGTCTACGCAGCAGGAAGTGTACACAAGACCATGTATAGGGTTGGCAGACAATGGTTCTACCAGTGTATTTGTATGTTTGTAAGAATTTCCAGGGGTATAGTAGAGCTGACAAGGGACAAGTTTGGAGTCACCTCTTGGTTACAGCCTGCTACCCAGTGGGATCAAGTAGTTGAACCTGTGGGGTTGGGACCATAGTCTCAGGAACATCAAGCTCAATTGGCATAACATACACACAAAGCATTGTTCCACCTCCTACTTTGGGGAGTAGTGACTGGGATTTTAAAAGCTTGCAAGCAGCCATCTAGATGCGATGATGGGTTTATCCTCATCCAGAGAAAAGAAGAATGAAGAAAACCAAATATTCATGGAAACAATTAGTCCTAGAGACTGGTACACCATGCGATCCTCGGTCTATATGATTATGAGACCAGAAGAATGAGATGGTACCCGGCTACCACTGTCAACCACTCAGAGGGGGATCTCTGTAAGAGTCCTGGATAGAGAGGGAGAACAATATGGAACAAAACTCAAAATCATTCAGAAAATAAAAGGGGGAGGGGACTAGGTTTGCTGGTCTGATAGAGCCTCATGGAACCACTGAGACTATGGCCCCTAGCTGCCTTTCAGGTCTGGAATTGAACAAACACCTGTGGCTTTTAGTCAAACAAAATACAGGCATAAGAGTTGAACATTTCCTGAGGTAGGTACATTCCTTGGAGAGAACAATCATGGGAGAAGAAAGAGCTGTTTATGCACAGGGAGACAGCTCAGGGAGCAGGAGTGCATGGAGGGATGGACACAGGGAAGAGGTAACTATCAGGAGGAAGTGGGAGGGGAGCTGTTGCAGTGGGGTAAATTGTAGTCAATGTCATGAAACAAAGTGTATGTGAACTGCTGTATAGAAAGTGAATTTGCTTTGTAAACTTTCACCCAAATCACAATATAAATAAATAAATAAATTCCACAGTACTCTTAAAAAAAAAAAAAAAAAAAGAATTGGTTAATGTTCAATCACTTCAAGAAGTAGCATAGGATCCAGAACCAATAATATTGAAGGAAGAACTCCAAGATGTACTGAAAAAACTGGCAAAAAACAAAGTTCCAGGAATTGACAGAATACCCATTGAGATGTTTCACCATATGGATGCAGCTCTGGAGATGCTTACTAGTCTATGCCAGGAAATTTAGAAGGCAATTCTGTCCAACTGACTGAAAGAGATCCATATTTATGCCCATACCAAAGAAAGATGATCCAACAGAAGTGGAAATTGTCTAACAATATCATTAATATCATATGTGGGTAAAATTTTGCTGAAGATAATTTAAAAAATGGTTGTAGCAGTATATTGACAGGGAACTTTCAGAAATGCAAAGTGGACTCAGAAGAGGGCATGGAATGAGGTTTATCATTTCTGATGTCAGATAGATCTTGTCTGAAAGCAAACAATACCAGAAAAATGTTTACTGTGTTTTGTTGACTATACAAAAGCATTCGACTGTGTGGATCATAATAAATTATGAATAATATTGCTAAGAATGGGAATTCCAAAACATGTAATTGTGCTCCTGAGGAACCTGTACATAGACCAGAGGCTGTATTTCGAACACAACAAGGAGATACTGAATGGTTTAAAATCAGGAAGGGAGTACGTCAGGGTTGTATCCTTTCACCATATTTATTCAATCTGTATACTGAGCAAATAATCCAAGAAGCTGGACTAAATGAAGAAGAGCATGGCATCAGGATTGAAGGAAGATTCATCAACAACCTGAGATATGCAGATGACACAACTTTGCTTGCTGAAAGTGAAGATACTTGAAGCACTTACTGATGAAGATTAAAGACTACTCTGCAGTATGGATTAAACCTCAATATAAAGAAAATAAAATCCTCACAACTGGACCAATAAGAAGCATCAAGATAAATGGAGAAAAGATTGAAGTTGTCAAAGATTTCATATTACTTGGATCCACAATCAACACCATGGAAGCATCAGTCAAGAAATTGGATGTCATATTACACTAGGCAAATCTGCTGCAAAAGACCTCTTTAAAGTGTTGATGAGCAAAGATGTCACTTTGAAGACTAAGGTGCATCTAACCAAAGCCGGGTCCAACTCAATGGCACATAACAACAACACAGCAACAACCAAAGCCATGGTATTTTTAATCACCTCATATACATGTGAAAGCTGGACAATGAATAAGGAAGACGGAAGAACTGATGCCTTTGAATTGTGGTGTTGGAAAGAATACTGAAAATACCTTGGACTGCAAGAAAAACAAACACATCTGTTCTGGAAGAAGTGTAGCTGGAATGCTCCTTGGAAATGAGAATGGCCAGACTTTGTCTCACCTACTTTGGTCATGTTGTCAGAAGGGACCAGTCCCTGGAGAGAGATATTATACTTGGTAAAGTGGAGGGTCAGAGAAAAAGGGGAAGATCCTCAACAAGATGGACTGACACAGTGGCTGCAACGATGGGCTCAGGCATAGCAGTAACTGTGAAGATGACACAGATTATGGTAGTATTTCCTTCTGTTGTACATAGAGTTGCTGTGAGTTGGAACTGATTCAACAGCACCTAACAACAACAAGAAAGAGAGAGAGAGATCCCAAAGAAGTAGCTCACACAATTGAAAGGCTAGCAAGTCTCAAATCCATGGGTCAGATGTCAGGCTGGAGGCTTCTCTTGACTCACAACTGAAGACTTGCAAGAAAACTAGCAGACTCCTGGCTGGCAAGGGTGACAAATTCAAGACTGGCAGGTAAGATGGCTCACAGGTTCCAAAGGGAGCAATCCCAAAATCAGCATGCAATATGGCAGGCTGCTGGTTCAAGTCTAAAGAATAGAAGGTCAGATGATAATGAGTCAGAAGCAGGATCCAGACTGAGCAATTAGCCAGAGAGCGTTTCCAGATGTCCATATAAATTGGAAGAAGACCACACCCCTGAGGAGACTCCCTATCAACTTATTGGCTGCTCATAGCATATCGCATCATGGAGATGAACACATTATATCAGACCTCATCATTGGGGATGACTACATCATAACTGCCAAACGACTGAGAATCATTGCCCAGCCAAGTGGCCACACAACCTTAACCATCACAGTCACACATTTAATATCTTTACCTTTTTGTTGTTAGGTGCCATCGAGTCAGCTCTGACTCATAGTGACCCTATGTACAGCAGAATGAAACACTGCTTGGTTGTGTGCCATCCTCACAATCCATGCTATACTTGAGCCCATCATTGTAGCCACTGTGTTGAGGGTCTTGAGCCACCTTGTCTTCCCCTTTTTTGATGACCAAGCATGATATTCTTCTATTTTACCAAGCATATTATTCTCCAGGGAATGGTCCTTTCTAATAACATGACTAAAGTAGATGAGATGAAGTCTAGCCATTCTTGCTTCCAAGGAGCATTCTGGCTGATAAATTATAATGTACATAGTTCATAAAGCAATACCTCTTTCCTACCACTATCAACCACTCAGAGGGGTGTCTATGTAGGTGATCCTGGATAGAGTGGTAGAACAATGTGCAACAAAACTTAAAATCATTAAAAAAGGGGGTGGGGGAGCAGGTTTACTGGTCTGATAGAGCCTGGTGGAACCACTGAGAATATGGCCCTTAATTGTCCTTCAGGTTTGGAATTGAACCCACTCCTATGGCTTCCAGCCAAACAACAGACAGGCATATGAGCTGAACATTTACATTAGATAGATACACTCCTTGGAGAAATCAATCATGGAAGAATAGAAGGGCAGTGTGTGCAGAGGGAGATAGCTCGGGGGGCAGGAGTGCATGGAGGGATGGACACAGGGAAGACGTGACTATGGGAAGGAAGTGGGAGGAGAGCTGTTGCATTGTGGGAAATCATAGACAATGTCATGAGACAAAGTGTATGTGAGCTGCTGTATGGTAAGTGAATTTACTCTGTAAACTTCCACCCAAATCACAATAAAAATAAAATAAAGAAAGAAAGAATGTCTTTCTCTAAGCAGGGCTAGTGTAGTTCCTTTCTTTGGCTCAAAAATACAGTTTTTGTGTCAAGAGTTAAAATGTGGGAACTATGGATTGTTTCATAGCCTCCCTTCTATTCTATCCCCATTCTAGTGAACTGGATAAGATAGAAAGCCAAAACTCATCCCTCCCATCTTTACAGCTAGAATTATGGAATCACATGAGGTTCCATCACTTGGATACACACAAGATTTGAAGGCAAGAGGGAAGAAGACTCTTTCAAAACAAGCTCCCCACAAAAACAAGACTGTACTGTAAGGTCTTGGGGTACATATAGTTCTTTTGGAAGATAATCTCGAGAATCACAAGACAAGAAGTGGGGAGACTAAGATGAGAAGTGAGAAAAGCCATTGTGATGGATTGAATTGCATCTCTGAAAAATTTATGTTGAAGTTCTAACCCTTGGTACCTGTGAACATGACTTTGTTAAGAAATAGAGTCTTTGAAGATGTTATAAATTAATATAAGAACATACTTGAATAAGGTGGATCCTAATCCCATCTGAGTGGTGACCTTACCAAAGAAGAGAGGAGACACACATACAAAGAGAATGTCATGTAAAGATGCATCTCCATTCAAAGGAGCCCCTGGGGCATCCAGAAGCTGAAAGAGGCAAGAAAGGATCTTTCCATAGAGAATTTGGAGGGAGCCAATACCCTCAATTCAAACTACTAGCTTCCAGAATGGTGAGATCAAAAATTTCTGTCGTTTAAAGTCATTACTTTGTGGTATTTTTTTATAGCAGCCCTAGAAAACTAATACAGCCACTAACAGATCGTTATAGAGTCTGAATTGTTGTTGTTGTTGTTGTTAAGTGCCGTCGAGTCGTTTCCGACTCATAGCGACCCCATGCACAGCAGAATGAAACACTGCCGGATCCCGCGCCAGCCCCACAATCCCTGCTATACTTGACCCCATCATCGCAGCCACCGTGTCAATCCATCTCTTTGAAGGCCTCCCCCTCTTTCGTCGACCCTCCACCCTACCAAGCATGACATCCTTCTCCAGGCAATGGTCCTTTCTTACAGCATGACCAAATAGGTGAGACGAAGTCTGGCCATTCTTGCTTCCAAGGAGCATTCTGGCTGCACTTCCTCCAGGACAGATCTGTTAGTTCTTTTAGCAGTCCACGGTACTTTCAGCATTCTTCGCCAGCACCACAACTCAAAACATCAACTCTTCTTCGGTCTTCCTTATTCATTGTCCAGCTCTCACATGCATACGAGGCGATTGGAAATATCATGGCTTGTATCAGGCGCACCTTAGTCCTCAAGGAGATATCCTTGCTCCTCAGCACTTGATACAGTTCCTTCGCAGTTGACTTTCTCAATGCTACACGTCGTCTAATGTCCTGACTGCTGCTTCCGTTGGCATCGATTGTAGAACCAAGCAACGTGAATTCTTTGACAACCTCAATCTTCTCTCCATTTATTGTGATGCTGCTCATTGGTCCAGTTGTGAGGATTTTTGTTTCTTTATATTGAGACGTAATCCATACTGCAGACTGTATTCTTCAACCTTCAGAGTCTGTAATTCAAAGTCTGAATTACAGGGCAGCTATTCAGACCTGCAGAAGTTGTTCTTATTCTGAGAACACTCGAATTTGGCAGCCTTCTAGCTTACCCAACAAACATGTTGAAGCAATACTCTCATGTGTTATATATCTAAACCAAGCCAAACTCACTGCAATGTCAAATTTAACTCTTAGTGACCCCCAGAGGGTTTCCAAAGCTATAAATCTTTATAAAAGCAGACTGCCTCATCTTTCTTCCATGGAGTGGCTGGTGGGTTTGAACTACCAACCTTTTGGTTACCAGTCAAATGCCTTAACCACTGAGCCACAAGAGCTCCTCTTGTTATGTATATTGCCTCCAAAATACAAAAAGGCTCACGAGGACTGCACCTCTTTCTTGTTGGTAGTCCATGTAAGGAGTAATAACTTGTCATTTACTTTAGGACCAATGTGCTGGCAACTTCCAGACATTGGAACCCCGAAATCTTCAGTGATATATCAGGTTTCTAAAATTTTGTGGTGTTCATATCCCTCTGGCATACACTAACAGGGTGTGGTGGCTTTGTAGTATGTCAGTTTAATAAGGCTGAACTATATTTCTCAGAATTACCTTCCCTGTATGTTTCCCATAGGGTGGGCCGTTTCTGTGCAAGATTCGGAGGATGCAAGTGAAGCAACAGTCATTTTGTAGCTCATATATATTGTCACTTATTGTATGGCATAGAGCAGCAGCAGTCATTCCATAACTGCACTATCTTCCCTGTTTCCTCCCACAGCTTATCTAACTCTTAATCAGGTGTGTGATTAACTATATGATGGAAGGTACCAGATTCTCCTGCAGAATATCCACACTATCAAAGTTAGAAATAGCAAGAACTGACATGGATTCTACTTTGTCCTCATAGGTTCAAACTCCAACATCAGATGCAAAGAAAATAGCTTTCAAGAGACTGCTAAACTACCTCCCACAATTTCATAAAGTGAAATCCCTGTAACAAAGCTCTTAGTGATTCTGCTTTTCTGATTGAACCCTGACTGACACATTTGGTATTCTGAATACTTTCTGCTTCCCGTTCACCAGGTCTGATTAGAGTGATGCCTTCAACAGACCATCATGATATTCTGTAGAATGTAAACATGGGTCAAGAACTCTTTTGACTAAATTGAGACAGAAGGCAGTAGTTATCAAAGCTCTGAGTCAAGAGACTGAATCCTAATGTGAAAGGAAACAGTTTGTAATCTGCTTTCATGATTGGAAATGAAAGGAACTGTCATGCCACATCAATTGCTTCACGCAGGTACAAGAGTCTGTATTGATCTGTTCCAATAAAGATACCATGAAAGACCTACCAGATGAATTCAGGGGCACCCCTAGATTAAATTTACAGTAGTCTATTATCATCTGCTATAATCCCTCTTGTTTCTGTGAAGGTGAAACTGGTGAATTAAATAGGAATATGATGAAAACTACCATCCCTATATCCTTTAAGCCTCTAAGAGTGGCACTAATCTCTGCAATTCTCCCTAGGATGTGGTATTGCTTCTGATTTTATTTTCATGGTTGGAAAGGGGCAGTATCAGGGGATGTGTCTATGGGCCAGGGAGCTAATAGATTTTGGCAGCTACTAAGTATATATGTATCCTGATTATGCATTTGGGGGTTGGAAAAACAATCACAGGGTGATCATGAAGACCCATTGGATCCACTAGGAGAAGCATTTGGACTAGGACTCCATTTATGAACTCGTTGACATATGCTCCCACTTTAACAGAAGTTTCCTAGTATCTATTTCAGCTCAGACTCACCAGCCTTTAAAAGATATAGGTGATCTCCTTTACTCAGTTATAGTTCACTTAATAAATGACTATAGATTCCTTTGAGGAATACCCCCAAAATGTGTGGAATTGTGTATGTGCTTTAGAAACCAAATGAAAGCCATGTCATTGAGTCTATTGCAACTCATAGTGACACTTTAGGACAGAGTAGAGCTACCCCATAGGGTTTTCAAGGCTGTAAATCTTTATAGAAGCAGACTGTCTTGTCTTTTTCCTGCAGAGTGGCTGCTGGATTCAAGCTGTCAACTTTTGGGTTAGTGGTTGAATGCTTTAACCACTACACCACCAGAACTCCTTATGTGCTTCAGACTCATTTCTAAAAAGGACCAAATCTCCACTTCAATTGATGTTCTCTGAACTGATAATTGGCTCAGATCTGTAAACTGGGAGAGGGATTGTGATTTTCCACCAGAGCAGCTGACATCAGCTCATCAGCTCTTGAATATCTTTGGTTAAATAAGTCAACTGAAATCCTGCTTGGTTACTCACTATCCCACCCCTCGGAAAACTGTAGTTGCTTAGATATCATCACAGATCTTTACGGGTTTAGGCCTTATGGTTGCAACTCCAACCTTCCTTTCCTTTTCAGTAATTACATACATCTTGCTTCTTATTGTTGAGTGCCGCCGCCACCTGGTCTCTGCTAGTTCAGAAATATATCATCCATATTGACACCAAGGAGCCTGGATCAATGACACTAGTCTACAGGAGTCAGCCGCTAATGAGCATCTCAACAATACTAGTGCCCCTTCATTAGTGTATCCCTAATTTATTTAGTAAAGTAAGTGTACTGTGAGCTATCCCAGATACCCCAGAGAAAAAAAAAATGCTGCTGATAGGATTTCTGTTCATATGTAATAAATCCACTCCATATATTTATCGCTTCTGATTCCTTTCTCGATTCTACCAAGGAAGTTAAGGCATCATTTATTTTAAGCCATCTTGCCCAAGCTTCATGGGCCATCCTAGCATTGTATTAGTTCTTATTCCAGGTGTCCATGTCCAAGTGTTAAATCTGAAGTCAAAAGAGAGTGTCTCCATATCAAAAACTCTTCTCTATCCATAGGTATTTCTCTCTGTCTCTCTCTCTCACATACACACACACATACACACATACATACATACACACACACCTTAATATTCATTCCCAAACATGATACTTGTTTCTTGCTGGAATATATTAGCAGGTCTTGCAGCATTTTTAGTGAATAAGCCACTTTCTCACGGGCAGGGATTGTGCTTTCCTGCTCAGGTTATTACCTAAACTTAGTTGTATGCATAAAATCAATGAAGAGAAATGGGAGTGGGTCTTGAGTAAGTTTCATCTGGCAAAGCATTCATCTCTGATAAGGACTTTTTGTTGTCTCCAGGTAATGGAAATTTGCTTTCTCCTAGAAAGGGAAAGGCCCATCTGAGAGTATAAGTTTCTCAAGCATATTCAACAAAATGTTCCCATCCCAGGTCTGAGTCCAACTCCTTTCCTATCAAGGCTCTAATTTTAGCATAGAAGATTTTCCAGGACTGTACTTTCAGTCTCTTTGTCACTATTACATTTAAATACTGGGCCTGACTTCCAACACAGTTAGCTCTCCAGTTGTAGTAGATATTGTTGTTGTTGTAGTTGTTATGTGCTGTCGAGTCAGACCCAACTCATAGCGACTCCTCCTTGGATTTCCGAGGCAGTATCACTCTGGAAGTAGATTGCCCCATCTTCCTTTCAAGGAGTGCTGCTAAATGTCTGTTGACATTCACAGTGGCCCCTGAATTGATAGTTGGCTAATTTGAGCTTATAATTTTCTTTTTTCAGAGAGTAAGGGTAGTAAGAAAGGGGAGACAACAACTTCACAGTCCTTTTAATTATCATTTTTCCCATTTGTTTCATGTGCTGGAGTTATTGCATAAACCAATGCTTCCCCTTATACCTATCCTTCATTTCAATCTACCTCAGAGTTCCACTATGAATTTCCAAGAAGAAAAGAACAAAGCTTTAGATTGGTCTGAATTTAGGGGATACATTTGCCAGATAATCTGGATTCAGTGTTAAAGCATCATTGATTCTAAGAGTTTTCTTGGTCAGCTAACTTAAACCTTGATTCAGTAGTAACCAAAATTAAATAAATGTAGAAAAATCAACTAACCACTTAGGGACATAAATTCTATTTTTATTCTTACTCCAAGCTCTGCAACTGTTAGGGATGCTCTTATTCTTGTTAAAAAAAAACAAAAAAAAACACTGCTGTCGAGTCAACTCCAACTCATAGCGACCCTTCCTCAGGTTTCCAAGGTGGTATCTCTGTGGAAGTAGGTTGCCCAGTCTTCCTTCCGAGGAGTCACTTTGGGTTGGGTTTGAATAGCCAGGCTTCTGGTTAGCAGTCAAATACCTTGGCACTATGCCACCAGAGCTCCCCCCTTACTCCTGTTGGGAGTCATAAAAGAATCTTATTATCTCACCATTCCATGGGACATAAAATTTTCCACCACAATAATGCAATCATGATGATTGTACCTCTTCAGTTGCAAATTATAGTTATCCTAGATGTCTTAGGATAAATATTACACAAGAAGGTTGGGCAATCTACTTCCATAGTGATACCACCTCGGAAACCCATGGAGGGGTTACTATGAGTCAGGTCCGACTCGACAGCATATAACAAAAACAACATAGAAGGAGGTTTGTTGCACAAAAAATTAAGGAAGTTCTGGAATTCTTAGATTTAGGGCATGATGTTCCCATCAAACTAAAAAGATAAAAGAGAGAGTTGCTGCCCCTTGCACTCCCTCCTGTCAAGAAAAAGGTAAATTTCCTGACAGTCTTTTGATTTTGGAAGCAGTATGGGCTATATTTTGGCATACTTCTCTGACAATCTTGCTGAGTAACTGTTAAGGATGCCAGCTTTGAATGGAATCCAGAGTAAGAGAAGACTCTAGAAGTACTCCAGAATGCATTAAGAGTATAGTATACATTCCATACTTGGAATTTATGACTAAACAGATAAAATGATATTTAAACTATCTAGTATAGTGGAATGCTGTATGGATTCTGTGCCATTTCATCATTAGAGAATTACAGCATGGGCCTCCGGGCTTTGAAGGATTGTACTTCTTCCTCAAATAACTGCCATCCTATTAAAAAACAGTTCATTCTCAAAGTATCTCCCCATAATTATAAATATGTTTTATTAAAATATTTATTAATTACAAAAGAGAAAACAGCAATTTTACAATGGAGAAACCTGAGATACAAAGTCTTGATCAAATAATAAAAGTTAACAACAACTATAATGGAATAGATTAATATCATGTACCTTCTTATATGATGTACTGAGCATAACTTCTATGGTATTTTTGTCTAAAAGTGTACAAACAGAATTTAATCATGAAGAAATATCTGATAAATCCAAATTAAGAGATATTCTAAAAATAACTGGCCAGTGTTCTTTGAACGTATTGTTGTAGGGTAAAACCCTGACTCTGTTGAGGATTAAAATAAATTTATTGAAGGAAAGACACAGTTTAAACTGAAGATAAGCATAGTCCACAGTGAACTATGCTCTCCAAGGAGTTACAGGCATCCAGGTAATGTTTATATTGTTAAATCAGGAACTAACAACATAATATTCTGATTGGTTTACAAAGAACTTGTAAAAGTCAAAGGTAGGTGTTAGACTGGGTTCTCTAGAGAAACAAAACCAGTAATGATTATATATATGTATATATAGAGAAATTTATCTTAGGAAAATGGCTCACACTCTTACAGAAGCTGACAAGTCCAAAGTTCCTGGGTC